CATGGATGAGAGATTTCAGACCTGTCGTTTGTTGTTGTGCTTACACGACAATACAAATCACTCTTAACGGATCGTGTCTGGTTTTTATTGATATATCTGAGTGACTGCAAGAAGGAGATGCATGTGTTTTGCTGAAAATGCAATTTTTGGTTTAACTTGGCTTTTGCTTCTGAATTTGACACAACACCCACAGGCGTCAGCTAAAAGAACAGGTTTTTTTTTTTTTCCTGCTGCTGTGTTTGGACAGTACAGACTGTACCTTATAGCTCTGAAAATGTGACCTGCATTATAGAAGAGTGAAGGACATGTACAGTTCACCCAGACTCCTGCAGAGCAGAAGGTCTGCACAGTCCCCCTTTAGATTTTTGACAAAACTAATTAACATTGATTGATTAAAATCTAGAACCTTCTCATATATGCAAATGAAACACAGAGGAAACGATACAGTCCTCAATCACACTTTCTTTCAACTGTCACTTTTGTTTAAAATTGTATGAATGGTTTCCATGGTTTCTCAATTTTTCTGACTCTGACAAACACCATAGCTCATGATTTCCTCTCTTCCCATCCCTGTGTATGAACAATTCATGGATGCCAACCATCTGACCATACTGGCCGTCCAGAAGGAACAGATTCTACGTGTTGCAAGTATTTGGAAAATTTAGAGATATTTAAATTTAGCTCAGGAGTAGTTTGTAAAATTATACACAACTATGAAGGAGATAGCTTTTAAATTTGTAAAAAAAAAACATATATATATATATATATATATATTGTCACTGATAGCTGTTTTCTGGGGGGATGTGAGCCTAAAGTTTTCACATTTAAAATATAATTTACTGAATGGTAAGGTGTGTTATGAAGGTCACCTAAAATGGCCATTATTTAGACCAGTATTATATTTGTAGCTGACATGTGGCAATGCTGAAGCCAGCTTTTGGCCAACATGATAAACAGAAAATAATGCCAAGTGCTAAATAAACATTTCATATGGGCCTGATCTGAACCATAAATCTTAAGCCATCTTAAAAGCATTTCCTGAAAAAAGGCCTTGCTATAACTAAAATAATGCAAGGAATTAATTAAACGAGAAAATATGGACACGTGAAAAAACGTATGTGGTACACAGAAAAAATGTAATCGCTAAAATAGATTTCTTGCGTAAATATTATTGAAGATATAAAGATCACTGATCCAGGGGCCCAGAAGATTGCTTGAAAGAACAGCTAAGCAAGCCAATAAACAAAACAAATAAAGGTTAACAATATTTCAAATTAGCATGGGAACAGCTAATGCTATTCCTTATGTATGCATGGAAATTGGCTGTATCAAAAGCAGCTAAAAAATAAAGGGAATCAACACAAAGCACAAGCGAAGAGATTACCTGAAGATCACCCAGATATTGTCACAGGTTGGCCAAAAAGGAAATTAGCTAGTCCTAGAATTAGCTTAAAGGAAGGATAAAGCTAGAAATGGCCATTATTAGAAAAACAAAAGCTAAATGGCTTAAAGGAAGGATAAAGCCATTATTAGAAAAACAAAAGCTAAATATTGCACAAAATCAACAACAAACTAATAGTTTCCAAATGAATCTCTTCCATGCAGTAAAAAAATATTAAAAATACTAATTAAAAAAGTAAACATTTACCAATATTAGTGGAAATAGTGCCAATGAATGTATTTAGCAAACATTGGATTACAGCCAAATGTAACCCCAAACATATTAAATCTAAAAAAATAACATAGATTATGTTAACAAGCCTATTTTAAACCATACTCTTTCTGCCCGAAACAGTATGTTATTTGTGAAATAGAATAATTAACTGTTTTTGTGTGTGTGTGTGTTGAACAGGTTTAGGGTCATGGTCAACTTCACTGTGATGATAACATCTCGTAAAGTTCCTGCTTTAACCTTATAAAACCCTTTTTTTCTTTGTGGAGGTTAAACAAATGATTAAAATGACTGTACTGTTAACACAAATATGGAAGAACTTTTCTTCCACCTGCCCCGTGATTTGGCCTTCACCTATACATCACTATTGACGTGTAAATCAATGTGATGCCGTATAGCATGAATAAGAATGATTCCAAGCTGTTGAATAAAGAAAGACAGATTGAGAGTGATAGTGTGAATGCCTCCCACAGACACACTCCCACTCTCCCTCTCATTCGCCCACGCACTTTCTGTTCCTCTGACGTCTACTCTTCCTTTCTACTCCTCCGCTCGCCTGCGGAGGCGTTGTGCTTTCTCATTCATACGGGTGCCATGCTATTTACGCAGCTCTGAGTGGACGGCAGAGCAGCAAGTTGACTTGACTATTTATTTATTTTATTTGTGGAGGAAGAGGAAGCAGATGAGGAGGAACAGGAGGAGGAAGTGCCATGTTTGGCTTCATCCGTGCACAGATTTATGATCACGCTGTGATGGTGATCAGAGCTCACAAGAGAGCCAGTCTCTACAGATGGGCTTATCTCGTGTTTGTGCAGGAAATGTTCAGTGAGTGGGTATGATACAGTCATACTCTGGAATCACAGTGACAATTTTGGAAAAATTGAATGGAAATAGCATAAATAAAGGAAGTAGCAACAACAGCAGTGTGTGGAACACCTGACAGAGGTGTGATGAACACAATAGGGAGGAGATGAACCAAAAACTACAGATTCCTGTCAGGGACCAAAAACATAGAGACTAGGATTGAGATACAAGTGTGAATAGTTGTTTGTCTCTACTGTATATGTGGCCTCGTGTTGGATCAAAAACTGACCAGGATAACCTTCTGCTGGGATCGCCTGCAGCCCTGACACTGATAGAAGATGAATGGTGAGTATTTGTTGGTCGATGGTATGATCTGTGTTTTGTGCCCCTGTATTACTTTATATGTAACATCCCTGTGGCTAAAACAGCTCTCTCTATTATTATAATTTTTTTGTTTATGCAAAAAGAGTGAAAAAAGAGAGAAACGTACATTTAGTGGCAGTCTTTAGTTGCTTTTACCCAGTGAATTATGTGATTGGTTGAGGCCCTGCGTGTTTTTTTTTTACTCTTTGTGATCATAGGTGTTTTCCTTGCGTGGCTTCTGTTACATTTTGTGTTGCGTGCTGAGTTGGAAGCTAATCTGTATTTGGCAGAGCTCAGGTCAAGGGGGTGTGGTGACGGTGGTGCTGGTGGTGCTGGTGGCGGTAACAGTGACCTCTGAGCTTGATCCATTCAGGAGAAAGGTCACACTAACCTCCTGACACATTCCCAAACAGTATCGTAAACATCAGCTCCACAACAACACCAACTCACTTGTTGCAACATAGTCCAAATTCCTGAATTAATGTTTCACATTCAACAAAAGGTTCAGAGACATAAACCAATAGCCACTTATTGCACGTGTATATTGTAATGAATCTTTTGATTGTTCCTTTAGCAACAAATTGATGTCTAGATAATACAAGCCTTAGCAGCATAAACATTAACCTCAGTTCTCTGAAGGTGATCTGAACTGTGACCCGTGGCTCAGCTTCACAGTATCAGCAAAAAAACCAAGAGGATTAAAACATTTAAAGAGGATAAAGTTTTGAACTCTAAAGCCTCTGAGCGTTGACCCTAACACATGACACTAATGTGTTTATTTCTATGATTTATGTGCTGTTACATAGGAAATAAAATGATATATTCAACACATTTTAAACAACTCTTTTTCAGAAACAATGTATTTATTTTATTCTTATATAGTAAAAGTATGGATTCATATATCTAATCCAGTGTATTCAGCTATTCATTCCTAGTAACAGATCGTCTGATCTCAGAGACATTTCTAAATTTCAAAACAAGCCTCTGGTCACAAAGGGGCTTTTGTAATAGGTAATGAGGTCACTTAAGGCTGCTGTCAATTGTAATTATTTTAAGACGCTAACAGTTCACTAAGCTGCTGTTATAGCAGCAAGTGTTTGTGTTTATTTTGTAATCTTCCCAACCAGCTCCAACAACAACGTCAAATCCTACCACGTCACTATGTTTTATATCACCAGTTATATCACACTGTAGCCTCTTACATGATTACTTACGTAGAATACTGCATTGTAATGGAAGAGGTATCACTAACAAATAGGAGTTTACAATCCTGGTGTGAAACACTTTGTTCAATATAAAAATCTGATAAATTTGCAAATGTACCCTAATATAATAGTAATACTGCTACTACTAATAATAATAATAACAATAATAATAATAACAATGGTGGCGCTTTGGCCCAGAGGCAATGTCTCTGTCATTGGTGTGGAACCCCAGGGTTCACCTCCTGGGCAAGTTCGAATCCCGGTTAGGGCAGTTAATACCTTCCAGTGGACTCACCACCCGCAGGAAGGTTTGGGTACGGTGCAATGTGATTTGGGTGGCGACTGCTGCCCCCGCAACCCGGTAACGGATAAGCGGATGAAAATGGATGGATGGATGGAATAATAACAATGATGAAAATGAATCTGAGACTGAAGTGATATTCTTTCACTGAGTAACTTCAGTTTTTCAATCTTAGAAATTAGTATTATTTGTATTGTATTTTTCTATATTTAATATTAATCTGTTACTGCTAAAGCCACAAAGGTAAAATTATCACCATGTCAAAGTCATTTATCATATTAACAATGCTTTAGCTTCTTAACTGCAGTTTAGGCCTTGTCTATAGCAGCATAGACTGTATCTATGACTTATAATCTTCTGATCATTTGGAACATTAGTTTTAGTTTTACTTCTCATTTGACCACCTGGCCTTTCAGCATGCAGACCATTGCCAGTGACCCTACCTGAGTGACCCTGCACTGACTAGGTTAGAGGTCAAGGCCTTGTTAGACCTCATTAGAAGATAGCGTTAGGTCAAGGCCCATGTTCTCCTGTCGGGTGACAAGGGAGGAAACAAGGGATAAGATTCCGGTAATAGATGAAAGACGAGAGTGGAGATGAACGGGGGGGGGGGGGGGGGCTCTGCAATGCGTATCGATCTGTTTATGTTTTCTCGGGGTGAACACTTTGTTGGCCACAGTCCCGGCAGAAGTGCTGAGCTGGTGGCTGCGTTGCACACTGGGAGTGTTGGTGCAGAGGCCTGGGCTGAAGATGGATTTGATGTCAGCTCCCTCTGTGTTTCCATGGAATAATAGCCAGTGACAGTAAAAACCATAAACACCGTGGGGGCTTTTGAATCGGCCAGATGGAAAGCTGTGCTGTGATAGTATCAACAGGCGCCATGTTGTTTTTAAATTGTGCTGGTGCTGCCCTCTTCTGGTAATTTCTATGTATGTAATGTAAACGTGCATCAGGTGGGACCGACAAACCGATAAACTCGATAGTAAGTCTTTTAAAATCCATTATTGATGCTCTTTCCATATTATGTATACAACTAATGAATCACAAGCAAATGTACCGTTTCAACATATGTATTTAATGATTTATTCACTGCTTAATTAAAATAAGAGACATACGTTTGTTAGCATGGCCTAGCCTAAAATGCTAAAATGAGCAAATAACCAAATAAAATAATTTCATGAAATAAAGACCATTTTATCGTCAGAAGTAAGCTGAGAGGGAGTTTGACAATAGCAAACGTAGCAATTATTTAGGACGCTGACTAGGTTGTATATATATTAAAATATTTATTTAATTATTTATTTATTTATTTTATTTTATTCTTTCAAAAAGCAACTATAGTAGTTATCGCAGAGTAGCAACCAAAGAGTAGCTACTTTTAAGTACAGAAATAATTAAAAGTAGCTAAAATACTATACAATTTGATAAAAGTTAGCAAAAATGTATCACATCATACAAATTGCCATCCAAACAAAGCCTAAACAAGGCCCACCTATGTCCGCAGAACGGAAGAAAGCAATGTAGAGTACAAAATAATTCTAAAAATCATTTTATTGCAGGATTTACACAGTATGAGAAAACAATAAAATGTCGATGTAGTGTACAGTGAAATCTTCGGTTCAGTCTGTGAAGCAGAAATAAACCCACCAAGTAGTTTTTTTTGTTGAGAACTTGGTAATACTGCGAATACTTCATGGAGCATTTAATTACGAGCAGGCACAACAAACATTAACAGGTTATGGTAAGTGTGATCTAAATGCTAAAACAGTAGAAATGTTTGCGTTCTTAATTTAATACTTAACAAGACATGTTGTAAATTTGTTTGTGCAAAATACCTTTATATCTAGTATTAACTCAAGACTCTCCAAATAACGTAGACGTGGCACAAACCTACAGTATGTGAAGACTTTACTGACGTACAACTTGACCAAGACACAACAACAGTGCATATAAGAAGTGCACTTATTGTTAAAATCAGAATATCAGGATTTTCAGCCTTTTAAAAACGTTTTCTTGATCTGAAGATTAAGTAAAGTTCCAACATTTAGGATTTAAATGGCATCTTTTTTAACCTAAAAATTACAAATGAACAAATATTCTTTTAATATTGGGCAAATACACTCATACAACTACATTTGTATGAGCGTGTTTTGCAGATATACAGTCATGTTTTGATCCTTTCCTCTTAATGATTATTTTTTTGTTTTGTTTGTTTTTGCTTAATGTCAATAGGTGAAGCTAATGCAGTTCTCAGAAGAAAACAGTCAAGTAAATGGAGAGTGGAATAGCAAGTACATATTATGTGTAAGTACATATAAACATGTGCATTTCCATGGGACCCAAGGCCGGACACGTTGGTTCACTTAATATGGGTGGAGTTCAAAGTCTGACAGCGTAATGGCAATTTTTGTTCTTTTTGCTTTTATTTTTTTGTGCACTTGTACTGTAGGGTTGAGCAACAACATATACTGTAAAGGACATCATGACACACATACAACAAATCCAAGCATCTCATCAAATGCACACATGCCTATACACAATCGTACAAACAAACACACGCACACACTCCTGCCAATGCTATTTCAGTGCTTTCCTGTATGTTAATAAGGCGCTGATCACTGGATGTTAAAGCACAGGTTTTTAGATCCAAGAAATCTCAGTCCAACATAATTCTCATAATTCTCATAAATAAAAAAATGGAGCTAATAACACACAAAGTAATTCAATATTAACCTGAGGAGATTATGTTAGAGAGGAATGCATTGTATTTACAACAAGGTGATTGTTTTATATATATACGTATATATGTGTGTGTGTATCTGTTGTGGCAAGCTTTGGTAATCAGTGGTAAGTCCCATCTTTAACATTAGTAAAAGATACATGTTGTGACAATCTATCATAATAATAACATGAAATATTCTTTGAATGGGGTGGCAAATGCAGGAAGAGCAGAAAAGCAAAATAGCATAAGGCAGATAAGTAAGTTTCAATAGCACCTCACGTGCACAGAAAAATAAACCTTTCAAAATGAACACTCATTTACCAGTTTAGCGGGCATGGACTCAGTGCAGAGGTAAACTGGGTGCCATTTCTAAGACACATGCTGTGATCATGTTGGTTAAGTGTTTCTACATGAAGCAAAAAGGCCGCTTGGTCTCTGCATTTTGGGTTTGTAAAGTTCAATCTTTGGATGTTCTGCAAACCACGTCTCCACTGTCCCTCTCCTCTCACACATGCAGGGAAATAGCACCATCCTTTGAAAACAGGAACGTGAGGATAGGTTGAGGTTGTCAGCACACACTGAATTGTTTCCACATCTGGGGAGGGAGTACTCTGGTGTTGGCATTTATGTCCGCTTCATGCACACCTGACAGCGGCTTATGTGTGTTCTGAGGCTGCCAGCTTTAAGTGTTGTTGGAACAGGTTTCCTGGAAGAAGTAATGGAGAGAAAATTAATATATATTTTTTTTTCATTAGTGGTTTTCAAGCGGTTGGCCTGATAACAATAAGTGAAATGCAACCCCAAACCATTACAAAGCCTCCTCCTTGATTCACTGAATGTTTAAAACAAAGATAAAACTATTGTTTTCCTAGTCATCAACTGATTTATTTACTCTGTAGTGAAATATATTCAGCATATTTTTGTCTCTCCTTGGCTGTTCTACATGGCTGTTTTTGATTCTTGTTTCAAAGAATATTAAGCAGAAGGGTTGACCTTATCAAACATGTCCCTCTTTGAAAAAATGTTTGGACACCTCCTACTTAGTTGCTAATAAATTACTGCTATTTTGTCTGTTGAAAGTATTCATATTAATAATTTAATATGTTATGAATTTGTAATTATATTGACTAGAAATGTAAGTAT